GCTTTTCTCTCAACAAACCAGTTACTGAAAATAGATAAAATTGTGTTGAACTTCTATCCTTTTTACCTGACATGGGTGGTTTGCTTGTTTCCCCCCACATGTGCCATCAGATAGGCTCGTCAGCTCTGAGTTGGCAATACCTTGGAGATTTTGGGGGTGGAGCCTGAGTGGTGGGTTTAGATTCAGAGGAATTAGCTGTGTTAGTCTGTTGCTGCAAAATAGTCCAAGAGTTCAAATAGCACCTTTAAGACTAACAAATAGCACCTTTAAGACTAACCTTTAAGACTAAGACTAACTGAGTGGTGGGTGTGGCCTTATGACACACTTCCGGTGATGGCAGGGGGTGTGGCCTTATGTCACACTTCCGGTGATGTCAGGGGTGTGGCCTTATGACACACTTCTGGTGATGTCAGGGGGTGTGGCATATGCTAATGAGTATGCTAATGAGTTCCCCTAGCTCTTTTTCCACGAAACGACCCCTGACCAGAGGTCGCTGTCTGTCTATCCATCCTATCGGAACTGGATATGGCTTTCCAGTATATGGTATTACAGTGAATTCTTGATATTATTTTTGACTGCTTTGAGTGTACTTACTTCCCTCAAACTTTCTATTTCTTTTTGCACTCTGTCCAAATTCTCATTATTTTATCTAAGCTGGCTACTTAGCACTTTAAGGTCCTTTTTAGCCACTCTGTATGTAGCTGCTCAGACTGGGGACATTTCTTTAAGCTTGATATGGTTCTGCCCTTCATTCCTTTTAGTTTAGAAGTCAGAGGTAGTGGAGTCTGTTGCTTCCTTACACAGTAGCTATTTAAATGTGAATTTGGGCACGGATTGGAAAGTGAGCCACGTTTACATGTCTTCTGACCATACATAGTAATGGGTCTGTGCAAAAAGTTACTGGACAGGGTCAGTCCCTAACATGTTCATGTCATTTGCTGCATGGATCAGAATGTGTCTCACTTTCAAATGATGCTACTTAGCTCTTGAAGTCTCCTTTACACACTGAGAATCTGTATCTTCTGCAGTAGATTTTAGGATTGCTCAGAATTAAGGAAACATTGGTAACTGTTGCTTTAGTTAGTTGCAAGGACTAGTCAATCAATAAATGCTAGACATCACAGGATTTCCTTATTGGACTTATCCTGTCCTTAATCTTTATGTGCTTTTGCTTCACATAGGCAGCAGTGTTAGTAAATTGAAAGCTTTGTGATACAGCAGCATATGAGTTATAATAAAATTGTTACTGTTAATATAAATACATATTTTGGTTTTTCCAGGTCATCCAAGTCTCATCCAGGACCTATTGTCCATATTAGTGACAATCCAATGGATGAAGGCAAGGTATGTTAATGCTAAAAAAAAAAGTTAAATAGAAAATTCATCTAAGCAACTGTTTATAGTGTCATCACTTCTTAGAATTAAAATATTGCAATTAAAACTTGAGATATTAGCTTGTAAAAAGGGAATGAACCTGGTGATACTAGTGAAAAAGATTTATATCTAGAAATTTAAAAACTATAGCAAATGACACTCCAAAACTATATAGCTATATTATGTATATATTTGTGTGCACACACTCAAATATTCATCTAAGAGAACATGAGAATTGCACATGTAAAGCTAGGAGGAAAACAGCTTGAGTGACTGTGAACAGAAAACTATCTGGTAGAGAAAAAGTTAAGTATTCCTCCATCCTGTTCTGTTTCACTGTAACCTCATCTTCCTGGAGTTGCATTGCTCTTAAAAAAACAGTTACACCTGACTTATGGTGACCCCATAGGCCAGTGATGGCGAACCTTTTAGAGATTGAGTGCCCAAACTGCGACCCAAAACCCACTTATTTATCGCAAAGTGCCAACACGGCAATTAACCTGAATACTGAGGTTTTACTTTAGAGAAAACAACTCATACATTAACTTAAGATGATCCAAACAAAGTGAGGAAAGCAATCCCAAATGCTTTCATTTACTTAAAATTATTTGGCAGAGAATTCAACACTTTAATGATGGTCTGGGCCTGGCTGGGGCGATGGCACACGTGCCCACAGAGAGGGCTCTGAGTGCCACCTCTGGCACCCATGCCATAGGTTCGCCACCACTGCCATAGGCTTTTCAAGGCAAGAGACTAACAGAGGTGGTTTGCCATTGCCTTCCTCTGCATAGCAACCTTGGAATTCCTCGGTGGTCTCCCATCTAAATACTAACTACAGTCAACCTTGCTTAACTTACGAGATCTGACAAGATCGGGCTAGCCTGAGCAATTCCAAGTCAGGGCTCCAAATAACTGTGTGACTATTTCTTCAGTACAGCCATTTTTTGTTTCTTAAATAGAAATTTGCTGCCATGCCACATGATAAATTTGTTTAAAACTGTAAAGACCTTCCAAAACAGTTTGTGAAATAGCATAGTCATGTGTCTGTTGTTCAAAGGAATAAAAAGAACCAGATAGAATAAAAACAAGAGAATCTCCTAGCAAGATATGGATCTTCTTCGTGGTCTCTGTGCATCACACCCTTGGGATAGTCTGCGCCTGCGTTGACCTTCTTCAGTATCGTTAGCAAGCAAAAATGGATTTTCGCGCCCTGGTCACGCGCCAGGCTCCACTGTGCATGACCAAGGAGGGGCACGTAGATCCCGCCAGTTCTTTTCTGACGGCTGCACTGGTAGGACGCCTTTGCTTCGGTCGGTAAAGTATTTGCCTTTGGCCTTGTCTTTTATTGCGTTAGCATTTTTCATTATTTTTTTCCTTAGAGTTTTTTCTTTCAGATCCAACTTTGGAAAATAAAGTTTTCCTCTCCGCCGGCTTATGGCCATGCGGTGGGGCTTCTTTAAACGGTGCAAGTCCCGTGGACTTAAAATTTCCCCCTACGACGGACACTCTCTTTGTTTATTGTGCCTCGGGGAATCACACCGTGTTTCTTCGTGCTCTCATTGCAAAAATTTTTCCAATCAAACGCGAAAGAATAGAGCAGCTCGACTGCATATGGCACTCATGGAGAAAGCCCTTTCGCCACAATCTACTTCTCCTCTGGAGATGTCCGAGCACGCTTCGATATCTACAACAACTTCAGAAGTTCCTCTTCCCGCTTCGGGAACTTCGACGTCGACGGTTGGCATCGATGCATTGACACTGAAACGGTTGGTATTGACCCACAAGTTCGACATCCCGGTACCTTCCAAGATCTGGAAGTAGGGATTAGATATTGCCGTATCTTCCAAGATCCGGAAGCTAGGCACAAGCACAAAAGAGAAGCATAAAAAGCATAAGAAAGGCTCTAAGACCCAGCCTCTTCTATCAGCTTCTACTGTGTCTGCGAGTCAAGGTCGCGCTCCAGTGTCAGGTTCTCCTGAGCGCACTTGGCCTGTCGACTCCGATCATGATTTTGATCTCACTCAGCAGCACTGTTGTCAGACGCCGATCTCTCCGGCCATCAGTCTCTTTTGTGCTTGCCATCACACAGCATCGAGGATCAACACCAACCACGACATTCACCTCCCTTAACTTGGGATCACCGCCAGTGGAGGTACCTTTATGGCAACTATCCTTATCCACCTACGATGCCGTGGGTACCCCCTCCACCACCCCCTCCAGTAGATTGGGATCGTCATTCGGTGTCATCTAGAATATCTCAGTACCGAGAACCTGCATCGGGGTCGAGAACTTCAAAGCCGACGCACAAACCGCTTCCAGCTCTGCCTCCACCTCTGATTCCATCGATACCGACAGAAGTACCATCGGTGCCGATAATGCCTGTTCCCTTTTCCAAATCTTCGAGAGACTCCTCTAGTTCTGACGAACTCTCTAATCCAGCAGATGATACTGACCTCCCATCACCTCATCCGGATGTTGAGGCCGATCTCCCCATTTCACCTTCAGAGGATGTCAAGTCGTATGGTGATTTTATCCAACGGATGGCATTGGACCTTAACATGACACCCACTTTGATATCTCAATTGGTCGATGACACAGTTTTCGATATTATGCAGTCAGGCACGTCATCTTCTGTGGCACTGCCCATGACTAAGGTTATGTTAAAGACAACAAAATATTTATGGGATCATCCTTCTTCAGTACCAGTATCCAATAAACATTTGGATCATATGTACAAGATCCAGGAGACGGGCCGAATTTTTATTCACTCACCCTAAACCGAACTCTCTAGTGGTGACCTCCTCCCCAAAGGAAAATCGAGTCGTTCTACTCCTTCAGAGAAAGAAGGAAAAAAGATTGATTCCATGGGAAGAAAATTTTATACTGTAGGGGCGATGGGCATTAAGACTTCCAATTACGCTGCATGCATGGGACGTTACCAATTTAATATTTGGAAACGTATGTCAGAATTTTTGTCACACCTTCCTAGAGAATTCTGTTCCCAAGCCAAAGGGATTCAGAATGAAGGTGTGATTCTTGCTAGACATCAGATTAGTGCTGCTAAACATACTTTAGAGTCAGCGGCAAATACTCTCACTACTTCGGTTGCATTGCGCAAACACGCATGGCTCCGTTCTTCGTCACTCCCCTATGATACTAGATCCACTGTGGAGGATCTCCCTTTCGAGGGTGCTGGTCTATTCAGTTCAACCACTGATGCCATGCTCCAAGAACTGGATAAAAGCATTAAGACGTCCCGTAGTCTTGGGATCTCACCATCACCCAAATACACCAAGTCTAAACAATGGTCTCGTCAGTCGTGGTTGCACAGATCATCCTCCTCAAAGTCGCCTACTGAACAACATTGGCAGAGACCATCCAACTCCCAACCTAGTTCCTTTGGGAACAAACCTAGATTTGCACACTCTGTGCAAAATAAGCAGAAGTTTTCTAAGAACCCCAAACAGGGCCTTTGACTCCCTTTCCAATCCAGCAACTCGTCTTGCTCCGTTTCTCGACACCTGGCAAACGATATTCACAGACAGATGGGTACTCTCAATCATCAAAAACGGTTATCTGATTGAGTTTCTTCAGGTTCCTCTCTTCTCTCAATTTGTCCGAACACCTGTATCACCCGTCCTTCTTCAAGAAGTTAAGTCTCTCACCGCAAAGGATGCCATAGAACCCGTTCCAGCCTCAGAACAACATCGAGGTTTTTACTCTCGGTACTTCACGGTTCCGAAAAAGGATGGAGGCCTCCGTCCCATTATGGACCTCAGATTTTTAAACCAATTTATCATTTACAAGAAATTTCGAATAACCACTCTTCAAAACATCCTGCCACTACTGTCACCAGGTTCATGGATGGTCACCTTGGATCTGAAGGATGTGTACTTCCATGTGTCCATTCACCCGTCCCACAGACGTTTCCCCAGATTCACAGTCAGTGATACGCATTACCAGTTCAAGGCCCTTCCCTCTAGACTTTCTACCGCCCCGAGAGTCTTTACAAAAGTGATGGTCGTCATAGTGGCACATCTTCGCCTTCACGGAGTTCAGGTGTTCCCGTATATAGATGACTGGTTGCTGGTTGCGGAGTCCAAGGACATACTTCTTCTCCACATCGAACTCACCTTGTCGACTCTTGCATCTCTGGGCGTTCTAGTGAACCTCCAAAAATCCATTCTTCTACCCGCAACTCGGGTACAATTCATTGGAGCCATCATCGACTCGGTAGACACAAGAGCTTATTTGCCTCCTCAGAGGGCAAAGTCTCTTCGTCACGAGATCCTATTACTATTCCAATCAAACCGAACTTCGGCAGTTCGCATTCAAAGGCTCCTGGGGCTCATGGCTGCCATCACTTCGGTCCTCACATCGGTCCTCACATGTGCCCGGCTTCGCATGCGTCCGCTACAACTGTGGTTCCTCAAAAGGTTCAAACCCCAGTGTCATCCCCAGGGCCTGTCTATGACACTTCCTCCTACCATTCTTCACTCCCTTCAATGGTGGCTATCTGAAGACAATCTATCGGCAGGAGCTCCATTCCAGATCGCCGCTGCAACGATATCAATCACCACGGACGCCTCATCATGGGGATGGGGCGCTCACCTGAACGGGATGTGGGTAGGGGCGCAGTGGGACGCTCGGTTTACGAACCGTCACATCAACTATTTGGAGCTTTTAGCGGTGCATTATGCCCTCAGGTCGTTTCAGCGTGCAGTGGAAGGCAAGGTGGTCATGATTTTCACAGACAACACAACCACAATGTCTTATATCAATCGTCAAGGGGGCACGGTGTCCAGGGTGCTTTGCCGGTTAGCCTTAAGTATCTGGGAGGATTGCCTCCAATGGAACTTGGTTCTTCGGGCGACTCATCTGCCGGGAGTACTGAACGTCCGTGCGGACTTCCTGAGCAGAGGAGGTGCGACAGAGCATGAATGGGAACTCAATTGGAGATACTTCTTCCCTGTTTTCAACCGCTGGGGTCATCCGGAGGTAGATGTCTTCGCGACTCGCCACAATGCAAAGTGTCGTCTGTTTTGTTCCAGGGCAGGGATTGACTCTCTGTCTCTGGGGGACAGTCTTCTAATATCCTGGGAACCTCACTTTGTGTTCGTCTTCCCTCCGCTCCCACTCATTCACCGGGTCCTCGTCAAAATCCAGCAGGAACAGCCTCGTTGTCTCCTGGTGACTCCATGGTGGCCACGTCAACACTGGTTCCCTCTGCTACTTCATCTGTCCAAGGGCTCCTTCCTTCACTTCCCTCGGGTGCCGGATCTTTTTCTGGCCTTCAAGCTCACAGTCTGGAACATACCCTTTCCGTGATTAGTGACAGGATAGATGATGTCCTTCTCAATTGTCGTAAACCTTCCACGAGGGCTTCGTATGGTGGGAAGTGGTCTAAATTTTTGGAATATTTGGTCTCCCTCAAATTGCCTCCTCCCCTGTCTGATTTGAGGTCAATTTTTGGTTTCGTTTTGTCAAGGTTGGACAGAGGTCTCAGTTTTTCCTCTGCTAAGGTCTATTTAGCTGCGGTGTCAGCGCACCATCCGTCAATAGATGGGTTTTCAGTTTTTTCTCACTCGCAGACAAAGAAGTTCTGTAAAGGTCTCATCTGGCTTTATCCTCCTCGTCGTGAACCCACTCCGGCATGGGATTTGGCCTTAGTCCTCAATTTTTTGACTGGTCGGCCCTTTGAACCTTTGACCACTTGCAGTCTAAAGTTGCTGTCATTGAAAACGGCTTTTTTGGTAGCCATTACTTCTACTCGTAGAGTAAGTGAATTGTCTGCGTTTAGATGTGATCCCCCGTATTTGAGTTTTTCACCTCATGGGGTCTCGTTGGCTTTGGACATTTCCTTTTTACCTAAAGTTGTGTCAGAGTTTCATTTTCATAATGACATAGTTCTTCCTACGTTTTTTCCGTCTCCCTCCAATGAGGAAGAACGTAGATTGCACTCTCTGGATGTTAAGAGAGCGCTCTTATTTTATTTGGGAAGAACCAAGCCTTTCCGTAAGTCTCTGGCGCTGTTTATCTCTCACAGTTTGCCTTCCCAAGGGAAGAAGCTTTCCTCACAGCATTTATCCAAGTGGATTGTGGAGACTATTAAACTTTGTTATTCACTGGCATGGAAGCCGCTCCCTGGACAGCTTCGAGCTCATTCCACACAGGCAGTGGCAACGTCTACAGCTTTCCTGCGAGGTGCATCGCTGGAAGACATCTGTGACGCCGCGACTTGGGCTACTCCTCTCACCTTTGTGAAGCATTACACCCTTGATGTACGGTTCAGTCGGCGTACGGCTGTGGGTCGAGCAGTGTTGCAGGTGGCTCAGATGTAGGGCCTTGGCCCCTCCTCCAGGTAAGCATTTTACTGTTTGCTAATCTCCCAAGGGTGTGATGCACAGAGACCACGAAGAAGATAGACAGGTTGCTTACCTGTAACTGGTGATCTTCGAGTGGTCATCTGTGCATTCACACCACCCGCCCTCCTTCCCCTCTGCTCTTGGCCCTTCATCTTATTCTTTGAAGGCAGTTGGGTGGCGGTCAGAAGGAACTGGTGGGATCTGCGTGCCCCTCCTTGGTCATGCCAGTGGAGCCCGGCATGTGACCAGGGAATGGGCGCGAAAATCCCTTTTTGCTTGCTAATGATACCGAAGAAGGTCAGCGCAGGCGCAGACTATCCCAAGGGTGTGAATGCACAGATGACCACTCGAAGATCACCAGTTACAGGTAAGCAACCTGTCTATCCCAGGACTTCACAGTATTGACCACTGGCATTCAGACTATACTCAAGGATCTTGGCAATCTGATGGAATAGCTGGTGCATCTAGCTGATACTAGCTGAAGGAGGTGAAAAGGGGGAGAGCCAACCCAGAGTTTTTAGCTCACTAGTGCCAATCACACAGTGTAGCAAGTATACACATGCTCTAATTAAAATCCTGCCACTGTAAAGCTTCCGAGGGGAACGTTCTCCTGAGTCTGTTGTCTGAACATGGGTGCGCATGTTTCACATGTTTAGATGAACGGGGAGTGCCTGTGTTCCTCCACCACTCTGTTAGCCACAATACCCAGGTCTCTGTTTATTTTTGATGGGGGAGTTTAGCTGAGAGACCTTTGCTTAAAGGGTGCACAAGCTAGGGACCGACCTCCAACTATACCAGAGTCAGAACCCTCTTGTAGTGGCACAGATGACAGACAGGAAATATCTTTTATGAAATTTATTAAGAAAATTACCCTAATACATTCAGCTAATTGATAAAAATATCACACACACACACCCCAGAGCTAGGAAATAAAGGGGTGAAGCTATCTAAAGAGATCAGAGATAAAAGAGGACAAAGCATTGATGAGGATGGGGGTCACAGCTACCTGTCCAGATATGCAGTAGTCCATGGAGAAGAGATTATGGCCCAAACAAAGTTTGGGGGTGAACTACCAGTTGGCATCCTGGGGCAGACACACAGTCTCAGGCCATGTATTTTGGAGGATATAGACATTGGAATACAATGTAAACCAATGGGAGGCCTTGAGGGGATTATCCCAAGTGAATACAAATGATTAACTGGACCAATAAGGGGTTCCAGGGGGTGTAATCCCAAAAGGAACAAAAACTAGGTGTGACCAATGAGGTTTCAGAGGGGCAGTGTGGATTCACTATAGCGTTGATGGGATTAGCCAGGTGCTGGATGGCTGTACTGGAGCTGGCTTGAATGGGTTTGATGACCATTGATGGTCCTGCCAAGGCAGATTGAATAGGTTTCCAGATTTAGACAAAAGGTAGGAAATGGGTCCCTGATAGATGCCAGGAAGGGTCACTAAACATTTGAATGTTTGATTGGTTATCTCGGTATCCTGAGGGAAGGAGCAGGAAGGACAGTTGTGGAGGCATTTCACATAGACATAGGTTTTACATGGAAGGACTACATGAAGTTCTGGAGATAGAAGGGTATTCGCCAGGTGGCCTTTGGATAGCCTTTAGAAATGTAGGTACTTGACCTGGTAGAACTTGGCATTGTTTCCTATGTACACCTTGCTGGTGGAGGGGGAGATTGGAGATTGTCTTGGAGGGTTGCCTTGTGCAAAACCTGAAATTGGAACCCTTTTGCAGAGCAGACTAGCTCTGTGTTTCAGAACCAAGAGTGCCTTCCTTGGCCTGACTTTGTGGGTCTCTGGTTCAGGTCAGGAATGGGGTGCCCCATTATTTAGGGCTACCCGTGAGTAAGGCAGGGCCTTTGGGTAACACCCTAATACTATAAGCCCTAGTCCTACTGCAGTGCCTATTGGTTGTTTTATGCTATCAGATTGCACTGCTTTATCCTGTAATCTGCCATGAGTCTCAGCAAGAAAGGCAGACTATAAATAAATAAAATACAAATAAACTCCCTTGCATGTGTAAAACTAGCCTAGTCTTCTCCCCCATGTACTGTTTTCTGTATGTGTTATGTGCAATATATTTTATATATACAATAGTGTACCAGTAGATAGTGTACAGTTTCTGGGATGCATAGTAACAAGTGCTTTTTATGCACATCTGATTTGGCTGTTTAATCTTCTTTGTCCTTGTTAGCAGCAAGTGAGTAATTTAGCACTACAAACTTAATCTTAATCCAATTGTGAGGCGAAGCACTGCAGATGACGCTTAATGCTTTCAGATGAAAAGTAAACAAACCAGGATGGGGAAGAGGATAGTGGAGCGCCAGATGTGCAGAGATCAACTATTCCTATCAGTTCCTGCCATATTTTGAACTCTTCAGAGTGATAAATCAAATTATGCATGTAAATTATATGGAAAATCCAGTTTCACACATTAAGTCTATTTTACGTATGATTTATAAACAAATGTTAAGGGGCAGCAGCACACTTTGTATTGGTTTTTAACGCTAATACTTCACGTGTTGACATAGTGAAACTCCCCCTCCCATGAGAATATTTTGTGTGTGGTGAAAGTAAACTCTAAGTGTTTGAATGAGACATGCCCTGTTCTATTTTTGTAGGCTGTGTAGGAGTCTATTGTGAAAATATATATTTCTATGTCAGAACAGTCAAATAATTGTAACAGTTTCAGGGGTGTTAGTGGCATAGGAACTGGTGCCCCTAGGGACATTGTGCAAGGGTGCTGGAAGAATCCTGGCATGACACTGAAGGCTTAGGGTACTATGATTTATAAGATTCGAATTAAGTATAAAATAAACTCATTTTGATGAGTTTAATTTTTGTCCTTCACAAGAGAAATTTGGTGGTAGCTTGTATAATTATTAATGCAAAATCCATGAGAATTAGGAGGAAAAATAAGTTTTTTCCTGTTTTACTTTGACATGTGTCTAGGCTCTGTTAATTCCATAGCTTCAGCATATAAAAATGTAATCTCATCTTTTGGTTTGCAATGCCAGAGCTATGTTAGTAATAATAATGCATTTAGCTAGTTATCCTCAGCACTTCTATACTGAGGCAGCAAGCCTAGAACTAGGCCACAAATATTTCAATTTAGCAGTGACTTTATTTTAGTTTCTAGAAGATTAATATTTTCTGTTGTGATCTTTTTACAGTTGTTGATTGGTTTTGAATCAGGAACAGTAGCATTATGGGACCTCAAGTCAAAGAAGGCGGATTACAGATACACACATGATGAGGTAATAGAAATCAGGCAGTTTTGTTGTCATTGTTTATTTGTGGTGTCATAATTTAATTGACATAATTAGAATGAATGCAGTTTTGCTTCAGAAATACAATCTCACCAAGTTTTTTTATTATAAAACATTGTTAACCTGACTTTTGTGCCCTAAAGACCCGCTAAGGGATGATAATTAAAAAATTAATTTCTGTACATCAGTAACTTGCTCATGTTTGAATAAAATATGGGACTGAGAATAAAGTTCTCATGTGAGAACAGACAGCTTCCTCTGAAGCTCTTCTAGAACCAGTGGAAGAGGAAGGCGAGTATGATTTTGTCCAATTTCTTCTTCTTTGCATCCATCCGTGTCACATAGAATTTTGTCCAGAAGGCTTTTTTCAACCCTCAGCAGTTTTTTGTGGCTGCAGGCTGCTGGATGGGGAGAGGAAAGAAAGATCTCCTTCTGGTTCATAGGAGCCAAGATTTTGTTTGGTGGTTGCTGCAATAAATTGTGAAGGGATGTGCATTTGTGCTGGACATGTGCCATGAACCCATAGCCAGATATGCTTAACAAACCTTGAGCCAATTCCATTCCTGTTTATGATGGGAAATATATGTATTTATATTATCTTGCTGAACGCCATTCTTCAGCTACCTCTTCTTTCTCTCTGGACACCTGGGGGCTTGCCAACTCGTGGCTGAAGAATTCCTGGATAATTGGGGGGGGAGTGCTTGGGGAGGGAAGTGACCTCAGCAAGATATAATGCCATAGGGTCCCCCCGCCAAAGCAGCCATTTTCTTCAGGGGAACTGATCACTGTAGTCTGCAGATCACTTGTAATTCTGGGAGATCTCCAGGCCCCACTTGGAAGGTGGCAACCCTAGCACCCCAGTAACACCATTTTCTGTCTTATTCCATAGATTTCTTTACATCTATGTTTCCTTTCCTTCCTGTGCCTCATGTTGGTGGTGTTTCTATTACCCTCCATCTATAGAACCTTATGTTCTCTTCCTCCTTCTCTTGTAATTAGAGCCAGCATGGTGTAGTGGTTAGTGTCAGACTAGAATCTGGATCACCCAGGTCTGTGAAGCTTGCTGAGTGACCTTGGGCAAGTTACATGCACTCAGTCTAACCTACCTTACAAGGTTGTTGTGAGGATCACATGGAAGAAGAGAGAATGTTATAAACTGCAGTGGGTCCCCATTGGGGAGAAAAATGGGGATAAAATGGGATCTAAATATTTAAATAAAGCACACTTTCCCAACAATTCATACCAGTGAAAGAGTCACAGATGCAAGTAATCCATGCTGTAATTCTCACAGCTTTCAATTGCTAGGAAAACTGGCACTATCTTTACTATATGCTTCTGAATCCTCAGAGAAGATTGCACATACAGTGATTCAGGCATTTTCCCAATCCCAACTCCTACTTCAGACGTATTTGGGGCACTTTAAATGTTTCCACAAAGATTTGGAAAAGGGTCATGCATAATGAGTGTTTGGAGTTTCCCCACAGTGCTACAAGTTGTGTCTTTTCAGTGGAAAAACTCCTTCTACAGCTATGATTGTTAAGAAAATTTGTTTGGGAATCGGGGTTCTCATGTTCAAAATTATTGAGGAGGGGGGAAACTGATGCATAACTGATATAGCTGTATAATAGTATATGTACATATTCCTAGCATCATAAATTCTTCAGTGTTACACTCATTTCATGGCAAGGTGAAACACCCATTGCTAAGATTGCTCCTAAATTATCCTTCCTGTGTAGAAATAAAAATGCTTCCATTTTTGTGAAGTCTGTTTTAATGACTTTGCCACTTGTAACATGTTCTAATCCAAATGTGTATCTCTTGATCATTTATGTCCCTCTTAACTTAGTTGTTCTCAGTTGCAATAGTTAAGCAAGTTGAGGAGGATTGTTCTTGGAGGGTTTGAGGTTGACTGAATTCCAGGGTGATGTAGAATGCATAGGCATTGTTTGAATATCACTCTGTCAGTGAGCTATAAAATAGGAGTGTGCAAAAAAAAAAAATCGGCTCGATTCGGATTCCGCCAAATTGGGCAGAATCAATTTCGGACGGCATAAAGACTCCTGCATGTCAATTTCGGCAGTAGGAGGGGATTCAGGAGTCTTTGGGCCAGCCGAATGTCAGTTTCAGCCCCATTATATCCTATGGGCCTTTGAAGTCAATGGTGAAAACATAGGGTATATTCTGGGGGCTGGAGGGGAAGGGGTTTGAGGGAGAGGCTCCAAACTCACAGGTTAGCTGCTGGAGCCTCTCCCCAAGATACCAACCAAGTTCCAAGAACATTGCACCAGGGGGTCCAATTCTACAGGCCCTCAAACAGGTTGCCCCTATCCCCTCCATTGTTCTCTATGTTGGGAAAAATTTTACTTTTTTCCCACCATAGAGAACAATGGAGGGGATAGGGGCAACCTGTTTGGGGGCCCGTAGAATTGGATCCCCTGGTCCAATGTTCTTCAGCCATGGTTGGTATCTTGGGGAGAGGCTCCAGCAGCTACACTGCGAGTTTGGATCCTCTCCCTCAAACCCCCTCCCCTCCAGCCCCCAGAATATACCCTATGTTTTCGCCATTGACTTCAATGGCCCATAGGATATAATAGGGCCGAATTGCCGCCGAAATTCAGCGGCAATTCGGCAGCAAGCCGATTCAGATCAGAGAATCTGAATCGGCCTGCAGCAGCCCGAAAGGGGTCCGAATGGGCCATTTTCCGGGGTGCATTTGGTTCGGAGGAACAGAATGCACATCCCTACTATAAAACTGTGAAGTAGAAGCTTATCCTTGGTAATTGATAGGATGGCCTTTGTCAGTGGTCAAGAGCAGTAGAAGTGGTGCTTAAATTATGTCCAAACTGATTAGGCTTCTTTAAGGCTGTGTCACAGAGGTGTAATCTCCTCTATAATCCTATATACAAAGTGACGTGTAGTTGAATATATTTTTAGTAATAAATTTGGGCTCATTGCTTAATGACGGAAGTACATTCTCTCCACAGAGGTCCATTTGATAACTCTGTTATAGCTCTCTTTGCTCAGTTTGGTACATTGTGGTCAAATTACATAGTTATAACTCTATATGGAACTGGTTTGGAGGGCTGCTTGTGACCAGCTTGTCAGCTGTATATTTACTATTACCTGGACATTGTGTGTGAGAGAGATATCACTCTCATTGCTGTATCCATCATATTTTATTTCTGCCCTTCCTTCAAGGGCTTTCTCTCCATTTAACCTCTACAACTAGAGAAGCTCAAACTTCTCTTAGCTCAGCTCAGATCCCATTTGCTGATTTTTAAAAAATGATAACATTTAGTTCAGCCTGTTCATGGCTGTTTGGTGGGTTGCGTCACTGTTCTTATTTCTAATATTGCAATGCAGTACAGCATGTTTGGCAGCTGTGGCTGCCATGTCCCCTGTATTTCTACTGGAAAATCTTTTTTTTAAAAATTGGCAATTGTAATTGTGAAAGCCCCTCTTGGATGCACACCTTAATGTGGTGATGAGGTTTCTGTGTGTCAGTGAAGCTGAGAACAGTACTGTAAGGCGTTTAAACTCTTTTCAAGCTGCTATAGTCCTAGCAGAGTTACTCAAGGATGGTTACTCAGCTGGTCACAGCTGACACACCAGACTAAGATGCATCCACCTCCTTCAGAAATCAGAAGCCAGATCAGCAGATGGGAATGGACAGTTCTGATGGGGGTGAAGGAATACTTGAAGGGTAGCTACTGAGCAGCAGTAGTAGTGGAAGATGACACTGGTGGAGGATCTGTCATAGACACTTTAGCTAACCATGGTTAGTGCTACACAGAAGATGATAAACCACTTCTGATCATCTCAAACCTTGAAAACCCCATGATGAGACAATACAAAATGAAAAAAGATATAGTGCTGGAAGACAGGACACCCATGTTGGGTGGCACTCAGCTACTGGGGAAGAGCAGAGAACATGCATGAATAGTGCTATTCTTCATGAAGCAACTATGTTAAAGCCAAAAGGACATTCAGTTGTTGATGTGAGTAAATGCAAAAGGAAAGTCTGAAGCTGATTGATTCAGATACTAGGAATAAGGAATGTAAGGGTATGAATCAAGGTAAGCTCAGAACTGTTAAATGAAAAGAAGTAAAGTGGACTAGCTTAGGACATTTTTAGTCAGAAAATTGCAAAGTGTTTTACTGGGGAAATGGCAAACGGGGAAATGGCAAACACAGAAGAAACAGAGTCACTTGAATAGTGAGGCGAGATGTATCACAAGCCTTCAGGGGCTATAATGCAAAGTCTGACTGAATAATATTAGTCAGGCTTCATGGAAAGCCCATCAACATAACCATCATTCAAGTTTATGCCCCAGCTATGGATGCTGAAGATGAAGAAGCTGTAAGCTTTTATGCAAGTGTCCTGGAAGAAATTGACCACACACCTAAACAAGATGAGCTGATAATCATAGGTGACTGGAACACAGAAGTGAGAAACAAAGTAGAATCAAATATTGTTGGAAAATTTGGGCTAGGAGCACAGAATGAAGCAGGAGACTCATAGAATTCTGTGAAGACAACATTGTGAACACACGTTTCAGGCACTCAACCAGATGATCGTGTATGTGGACATCACTAGATGGCCAATATGAAAATCAAATAGATTACAAAATTGGAAGCAGAACGTGGAGAAGCTTGAGTCTCTCTGCTGAAACAAGACCAGAAGCTGATTGTGCTGCAGACCATGGGTTATTAATGTCAAAAATTAGAATAAAGGTGATGAAAAACATCAAAACATTCATAGTGCCAAAATACAATCTAGACTACATTTCTGAAGAGTTTAAAGGCCACGTAAAGAACAGATTTGCATTACTAACTTCAAGTGAAGGGGACCAATAGAACAGTGGATTGAACCCAGAGATATTATGAAGAAATAATACACAAACACTATTCCTGTAGTCAAAATAAATGAAAAGTCTCGATGGATTACTGATCAATACTTAAAATTGCTAAAGGTAGATGAGAAGCAA